ATTAGTGTGAAGGTGTGTAGAGAAGAGATATACGTGAATTGGCAATTTTTTGATACTCTTTTCATCTAGGAGCCCATTTGCCCACTGGTGAGCTGATATGCTGTTGATTAATTTTGTGCAAGTGGATTGATGCCTCTTTTGTTTCGTGTTTCTTTAATAATTGTCAAAAAAACAGCTTCTTGAGTATTTGTCTCTGTGTAAAGAATAATGGACCATGATGCTTTCTTGGTGAATTGTAAAGTTCTCGACAAAATATATAATATAATATAATATAATATAATATAATATAATAACCTGGTGAAGTTGAAGTCCAGTTTTAGGTCATCAACACATTTGTTGTCAGTTCCGCAGTTGATCTCAAACCCTAACTATGGAACACAGCATGATGTGAAAAGTATGTATATTACACATTATTTACATAATAAATGAAACATCGGTGAATCCAACGAATAATCTGTTTGTTCTGTCATCTAACTTTACTTTTACATTTTTGTTAATCTGAACAAATTGAATATTCTTGATACGCTTTTGGAAAACAGCAAAGTCCTTTTCACACCCAAGAATTCTTCGGTAGAAGTAGTGTTAGTCAATTTTATGGCAACAAAAAGTTAATTCAGAAAAATAAGGTCAAAACTAATGCTGTGTTCTTCAGTTCATGTCCAGCTAGTACATTTTTAAAGGTATTTACAGGATAAATTATTGTTGTTTGAGCCTGCTGAGCAAGGCTTGGTCTGAGATTTGTGTTGGAAGGAAAACCGTCAAATGTGAATTTGAGCTCATTGGAAAGTTGATTGAGAGCATCGTCTGGGCAGGCCTGCAAAAAGACAGCAGTGTTAGATTTAGGTTCCGTGTTGGAAGACTCTTAAAAGCAAAATGGAAAACAAAATCTGCTTTTCACCAAATTGAACCTTATTATTGGTTATATTAGTTTTTCTCTGATGTTGTTTTACCTCAATAAAGAAGTTTACAGTTGAACAGTTTGGTGTACTTAAGTCAACAATGACCGATCGAGACTCCTCTCGTTGTTTCCCACTGATGTAAGCTCGGTTGTTTGGAGGTTTGCGAGTGGCATCGAGTGTAAAAGTATAATTAATTCTAGCTTGAGCTGGAATAAATCAGAGTTTAAAATGTTACAAATGTACATACACTAAAAAATGAAAATGGATGGGCAGTGCCATTTTGATTTTGAAAAAGTTAGGAGAATAAAGAACCTCGATCAACTGTAGACACTCTGCTCATGGTAAAGCAGACTGTAGCTGTGTTCTGCAGTGGTTTTGAGCAGCTTACATTCTGAGTAGGGATTTGGTTTGGGCTGAATGACACCTCGACTTCAACCATTACAATAGGCCTTGATCTGGAAAAAAGGAAAAGCACATATGAACAACATTTGGTTTTTCAATTAGTACAGCAGCTTTCTGGGTAATGTAGTCATTTCCATTTCTGCTTGGAAATTATTTTTTAGAACAACAAGGCTACTGTTATAAATTACACATTTTATTTTGAGACTTCAGTCTCAACCAACCACATTTATTCCACCTTTAGTCACCAGAGCACCTCTCATTATGCAACCCAATATGATGGCAAAACGTGTAATAGACACCAGACCACCATTTTTATTTCACGCTTCTGCAAAACATGAAGTGGACACGCATGCAGTTGCATTTCTGCATGCAAAAGTTGTATTACCAGCACAGGGAGATAACATATGTAAAGACAAATCAATAGTGAACACAAAACATATAAAGAACATTTCAAGGTCCTTAATTGCCAAAAACGTTTAAGCTAGGTGTCTAATATGTATAAACATGTAAATGTGTTAATAATGTCTGCTAAAACGCTTTCCTGTGATAATGTTCACGTCAGATTGAAATAAAATCGCTCCCTCTGCTGTTACGGCAGCTTACTGCAAGTTCGCATGCATGTCATGTTTTGCCATTTTCCTGGGTTCCATCATGTCGCAACGAAAAAATTTTTTATCTCATGATCAGAAAGGCTTTTGACATGATAAACTTTAAGTCATATAACGTGACTTCTGGGAGAAAAAAATAGATGCCTGTTTTATCCTGCATATGTATTCCATTAAAGATTAAAAATTACTTTTCATGAATCACTTTATCATTGATGATGATTTATGATTCATTATTATATTATATAAAACCAATGCACAGGTCTTCAAATTGACCTAATCGTTTGACAGTTGGCGCATTCATTTGACATTGACAAAGTTGGTAGACATACCACAGACAATAATAACACATGACTGGAGTATCTATCTGGACTGTGACTTACCTCAGTAAGACAACCGTGCCCTTTGAACCCACCGCTAAGTCAGGTAGTTTATCACCACTCTGATCAAAAGACGACTGACTGATTGTCACTCCAAAGAACTTCAGTCCTGACTGGACCTCAGAGCCAGTAATTCTCTGTGTACGTGAAATATTTTAATTAATCAAACTTTATTGTATAGATATGGGCCTTAAATGATAACTGTGTTAATATATCCTCGTGAGTTCTTTGATGCTGTGTACCTGTGAGTAAGTAGGACTGATTCGTCCTCCTTCACTGTGGAATATGTAGATGCTGCCTTCACCATTATTCTCCAAAGGTGCTCCAACTGCCAAATCCCTGAATCCATCTGAGTTTAGATCAGGCAGCACAGCAAGAGAAGAGCCGAACCTTCCTTTGACAGCTAAATGTCCTCTTAGTACTAACGGATCATCAAAATTACACTCTACAAACTAAAAGCAGGAGAGTGAATATTATATGGTTATTAAGAAAGTTGAAAAATAAACTGATTCATTTAATTGCAGTACATAAAATTGTGATTTACCAAACCAGTTAGTCTGCAAACATAAACTCTTCCCTCTCTATCAGGCTCCATGTACATTGGGGCTGATATGAAGATCAGATCAGTGATGTCATCATTATTTGTGTCCATGGTACACACCTCTGCCCCGAAATATGCACCAGTCTGATACTGTGTAAGGAACAAATTCGTAATGAAAGGATTCATGTTTAGGGGAAAAAAACAACAGCTTTTATTTAAGAAAATAAATCATATATAGTTTACAATTCCATTCAGATCTGTCTTGCTGTAAATTCATACCTGTGATGAAAAGGGCTCGATCTTTTGGTTTTCAAAGCTTTGTCTGTTAACAGCGACCACAACTCCTCTGTGTTTGTATCTTGGAGCACCAACAATTGTTAGTGAGCCACTTCGGGTTTTAGCAGTTGCCATGGAGTAACCTAGAGGTTAGGTATTCAAAGAGAGGAAGATTCCTTATTCCTTCTTTTAAAATGTGTTCATTTTGCAAACACATTAGTGTGTTTGGGTGAAAGAATTACAGCAGAGCTGTGTAATACATGATTACATGTGTATGAGTTAGATTGTTAAAGCTGTAATATTCTTACCAAGATAGCTGTCAGGCTCCAAAGACACATCCTCATATGTTTTCAGCTTCTGGCCTCCAGTTGTGTATTGCACGTAGCCTCCCTTCCACTGGTTTGCACCAACAATAGACATCTGAATTCCCTACAGTGCAGACAGGAAATACATTTTATATACAATTTATTTTTCATTTCAAACCTGGAGTATGTTTAACTAGATAACTGTCTGCTTGCTTTTGGGTTATTATAAATGTGTGAATCTCTCTTTCTATGACTAGACTGTCTGGTGAGTTTCAGGTAGTTTTAATTACCTCGGGCACATAAACTGCACTGAATCCCTCTTGAGACATTTCCATTGTCAGTGACTCTCCACTGCTTTGAGATCCTGTAACAGAAAAATAAATGAGAAGGTAAAAGACACACTACAACAAATTTCACTTTAAAAGAAGTTGTTTTTTTTTTAATTATTCTAAGTTAAGTAGTAGCTCCAAATAATTTTTTTTCTCTTGATTACAAAAGCGAGATTGAAATGAGATTGATTGTTAAAAACTAAATGAAAAGTAATACCATGTATGTCATTTTAATTGTAAAAAAGCTATTACAATACATTTATCTTTGTACCTTCAATGGAGAAGATTTTGTCCTGCAGACTCTGTCTTATTAATTCAAGTGCGTTGAAGTTCTGCACTTGAAACACGTATTTGACTGAGGGAGAAGATGCAATGGTGTCCAGTTCTTGTTTTGCTGCACTGTTAGTAAATGCACTCCCACCTGGTGTTATAAAATATATGTTTGAGTTGTTATACTATGCAGCAGGATTTGCTCAGTACAGATTATGGTCCATAACTTTACGCCTTTCACCCAGTTTATAGACAGGTATTGTGCACTCACTGAATATGACCCACATTCATGATAACAGTTACGTAATTCTGCAAAATATTTTTCACATAAATTTGATTATGAACAGTTTATGTTCCCATCAAAAAATTCTGCCTTTTCATGAATTTAAGAAATTCTATTTTAAGTTTATGTGGTCAGTGAAATGGGCTTTGATTTCACTACGTTAGCCTTCAGGTGTTTTTTGCATCCCATTGTCACAGATATAAATAAACAAACAACTACCAGTGTAGGCCTTCTTTACAAACATTTATGAAAGAATGGGTTGTTCTAAAGAGCTCACTGAATTTGAGTGTGGTACTGTCAATTTGTGAAATTTCTTGCCTCCTGTGTACTCCATCATCTACTGTTATAGTTGTGCATATAGTGTTATATCTTGTGAGTTTTGTCTGATAGTTGGCTGAAACACATCGTGAGTAATAAAAATAATAATAATAATAATGGAAGTACTTACCCCAATAGCAAATCGAACAATGTTTTTACTCTCTGCTAGCTGTGCTGCACCTCCCAGATCATAACGATCATGAGATTGTCCATCAGTAATTACTATCAAGACCTTCTTTACATTTGGTCTAGAACCTGGTATGAAAACATAGTTCCTGCCAAGTGAAAAAAGAAATCTATTTTTAACACAAAACAACTTTTCAAAGTGCATCTTATGGTCATGACTAAATTGCATGTGTTATTATTGTCTCGATATGCATCATTTTTGTATTATCTTTTAGTATTGCAGATATTTTTGCACTTTGCAAATCCAGCTAATGCAAGTATTTGAATTTAGCCTTGGTTATGCTCATCTCATCAAATCTGTGGGAAATAATTCTTCAAAACCCAAGTCTGTCTTTTTACAGGCTTTCAAACACACAGTACTTAGTGTGGTGAGATGCACCAGAAGAAAATAATCTGGGCAGGAAATCTAGACAATAAGTTCACTGTAGTGCTTTAGTAATATTATTGCATCACTGACACAACATGTCTGATGGCCTTAGCTGTGTAAGTAGCTCCCCCCAGCTGACTAATTCCATCTATGTCAATCCATGGTCCAGATGAGGTAAATTTCTTAAAATAAAAATGAATTAGAGGGAACGTGGAGAACTGGGAAACAGAAAACTGCAAAAAAAGAAAAGAAAAAGAAATTGTCATGCTTTGTGAAAATAAATAGAAATAAAGATAAAACAATTTTATGTGCCATGATTTAAATTACAGAGGGACTGCAGGGCCTTACCTGTGCATCATTTGAGAGAAATGACTGAATTAGCGTTTTCACAAATGTCTTCATTGTTTGAAAGTCTGTAGTAGATATGCTGCCTGAACCATCCAACAGAAAAGCAATGTCTACTTGCGGCGGGCATGCTATCAAAGAGATTAATTTCAAAATGAATTTAATTTCAAAGGGTTAAAGTTAACAGTACCACACAGTACCACATGCTGAAATAAACTTCTCGTTAATGGCCCTTTGAGTTCATTTACGTAGTAAATACTAAATGTAATCTGATTTGACAGACAAAACATTAAGAATAAAAGATTAAACTAGTTTGATCTAAAACTAATTTTAGAGGTTCATGTAAAAAGAATCTACCTCTGGCCACAATCAGCACACTAAAAAAGAGACTGTGTCCTAACTAGGATAGGGGTTTGTGTCAGTGTGTGGGATTTTAGCCTAAGGTTAAAACTTACTTACCAATAGGAGTAAATTGACAACTTAAAACAATTTTATTGTTTTTTTTGTTTTGTTTTTAAGGTGACAACTTCCTATTGGTTATTTTGTGGTATGGCAGTTTTGGATGCATCTATCCATCCAAGCTTAGATCTTGAGGTTTGGTCTCATCTGTAATCTTAGACCACCAAATCATACAAGTCATACACAAAACCTGGCATCAATCCCTTTTTTTTAATTTACTCCACTTCTGTTTTGACTAAACCTTATTTTTTGCTGACATGTATAAACAGAAGTCTCAATATAGTTTCAGTTGATCTGAGATTTAGAGATTGTACAAGCACCAAAATAAGTCATTAGAACTCTACGTTCAAGTATAAAATCCAAAAGCTCTTTTTTTAATTAGTGAGGCCCCAGGACTCTAAGCATTATGGGTATATCATCACAAATTTTATTTACTGTTACCTTGAAGAGAAGAAGGTATGGGTAGTCCAAATATATTAGAACGGTCCATGTGGAAGCACACACCGTTGTACATGGTGATACTTTTGCAGTCCTTTGGGATGGTTGGACCACACACCTGAGAGGAGACAGTGTCAATTTTCCATTAATACAGTAGGCTGATTACTTCCCTGTCCTTCATACAATGATTACTTTGATATAACATCAAACATACCTGAAATTAATCTGAAATTTTCTTTTTTTTACAACTTTAACATATTTAAAGAAGCCACACTAAATTCTACCATGAAACATTTCCAAGCTAGAAGTCCTTAAAGTATTGGGGTTGGTTCAAAATTTAAGCAATTTATAATTCTTACATGTTTTTAAATAACCTTTTTCAACATTTTTCAGTCTTCCAAACTCCTTGTTTATGTATGTGATATATCTGCATTAACATTTCAGGACTGAAAAAATACATTTAGTTTTTCACAGAGCTTGAATATGTTAAACAAGTGAACTAAAATAAGCAGACCCAGTCCTATACACCTGTCCTATGTCTTAAGTAGGTAAAGGTAAAATTTTGAATGGCTTCATTAAATATGCTAAACGTATTGTACCCAAAACATCAGCTGATTTTATGAGGTGTTGGTGGAAGGCACACTAAGGCTATGTTCACACTGCAGGCGAAAGCGCATTGACCCTATGCGACCCATATCCGATCATGGTATGACAGTGTGAACGGCACAAATCCAATATTTTCAAATCCGATCTGGGTCACTTTCATATGTGGTACTGAATCTGATAAATATCCAATGTTTTAGAAAGCAACTCTTGTTTGAACGGTCAAGTCGCATTAAATCCATCTTTTACGTCACTGACACAAGACAGACGCCAATTATCAGCTCCGGAGAAGACATCGCAAACGCTTCCTGGCCATCCAGCAGTGAAACCTGTGTCAGTGTTGGGAAGACAACGTTGGAGAAACGTGAACATGTTATTTATAACTGTATAATCTGCAGATTCTGACAGAAATCTGCAACTATCCTTTGAAGCAAACAGCAATAAGGATAATTATTAGGTTATTTACATATTTACATTTACATTATGTAAATAACAAAATAACTTAAAGCAAAAATTGGGAAACGTAAAGTCCGAAGTCTTTATATTAACCCTCTCGAGGCAGGCGTTGCCGATTTACAACAGTTAAAAACTAACAACCTGATTACCCCACATACATATTTTATGAGTTTTTTTACTCAGAAATACCACTGCAGGACTTGGTTGTGCATTAGCAACAAAAAACTTAATTTGAGTCTGAGAGGGTTAAGGGCCATCAGTCAAACAATATCGTTTGCTCTGGGTCTAAACAGCACGTTGTGTGTGACGTTTTCTTTTGCGCATGTGCGCCGCTTTGAGGGTTCACACTAGAGAGCGTTTGCTGTTGCATTTTATTTGTAGTGTGAACAAGCAGACAAAAAAATCGGAATTGAGCATTAAGACCTGCAGTGTGAACGTAGCCTAAGTTGTCATGGAATGGGCTTCATGCATTTTCTAATTATAACTGTCATGGTCCAGAATCTGTGGACTCCATGTTTATGTTTAAGTTTATTATTATTATTCTGTGGTTTTGTTTATTTTGGGTTGCTTTTTATGATTATCCCTAGTGTTTGTGTCCGTTGTACTCTCCTGTTCCATGTTTCACATTCCTATGTTCTGTCTCCCCAGTCTGTGTTAAGTTTGCATGTGTAGAGTTTAGTCAGTGTATTTCCTGTTTTATTTTGAAGGTCCGTGTCTCTTGTCAGTGTTTCTAGTTTCGCTTCCCCTTGTCTCGTTATGTCCAATTAATCCTAGCCGTGTCTCCCATTCCCTGATTGTCCTGTGTGTATTTAAACCCTGTGTTTTCCTGTTTGCGCGTTGCTGGCTCATCTGTGTATTTCCCTGAGTCTCCCTACATCTCTGTTTCTGGTTTGTTTTAGTTAGTTTTCCCAGTTTAGGTTTTGCTTAGCTTCCATGCTCACCTTTGCCGTATCTATTTGTATCACCCTGTATCACCCTGTATCACTCTTGGGTCCTAATTTTCCACCTCCACATGTCTGCCACAGTGGACGTGACAATAACAAGAGATTTTGACAATGTACTGGTAATGTCTGCAGTTCACCAACTCACCACAGTGTTTTGTGTTGAGGGATCACTTTTCATTGTCAGACCAAGCGACATGTTGACTGCAAAATCTGGTGCTGTATTAAAAACAAGCAATATTTTTTTTAAATACTCATAAAAGGCAATTGAAAGGAAGAAAATAAGACTTAAATCAATGACTCCAAAGCAGCATGACTGAAATACTTCCCATTGGAACTTCTCTCAACTGCAAACCAGGATGTAAACCAGGCCGCTTTAATATCATATAATTTAGTTTCACTTAAAGAATTATCTTAACATTAACATTACTAATGCCATTGACTTTTTCTTTGCTTATTTTAGCAAGATATTTCTAGTTTTAAAGGCTTATTTACTTTGAAAAATCTAATTATGATTTGATTTACACATGTTTCTGTGCAGCTCACGATAATTTATTTGATGGCAAAACACATGCCGTTAGAGTTCCATCACATCTTGTCAATACATTCAATAATGAATGATTACTTACCTTCAAACGGGATATTTTGGCAGTTTCGGGGAGAGGCGGTGCAGCTATAAATTTTCCCCCTTCGATTTTGTGAATATTGTTCTACTGGGGCACTGACGAGCACACTAAAGAAATAAATCCAGTCAATGACGTAAGTCCAGACAGTGAATTGTAGGTAAATAACAATAATCTCTATGAACAGTTCCAGTCTGGTTTTTGCCCTTGCAATAGCAGAGAAACAGCCATTATAAAAATAATCAACGATCTGCTTATGGCAGCTGACTCCTGTTTACTCTTCATTCCTGACTCAAAAATCCATCAATAAGCTTCAACGTGTCCAGAACTCTGCTGCCCGTATTAACACTAGGATTCCCTCTATTCACCACATCACCCCTGTCCTGAAGCAGCTTCATTGGCTTCTGGTCAAACATCGCATCAATTTAAAAATACTTCTGTATACATTCAAGACTATTCATCTTCTCTCCCCTCCAAATCTCTCTGATTTGGTTCAGATCACCATTCTGTCTCGGTGCCTCAGATCCTCTTCTCTCTCTCTCTCTGTTCCTTCCCAGTGTCTGCCTTACCACTACATATTTCAAATACAGTGAGGGTTTCTACAGACAAAAACATGGCTGTGCCATGGGCTCCCCGGTGTCACCCACTGTAGCCAACCTTTACATGGAGGAATTGGAAAGAAAGGCTCTTGGATCTTTTAAAAAGGAGATTACCCAGCCACTGGTACAGATATGTAGACGACACCTGGGTCAAAATCAAAACACAAGTAGTGGAATCCTTCACTGCTCACATCAACGCTGTGGATAAATAGATCAAGTTCACCAGGGAAGACACAAAGGACAACTGTTTGCATTTCCTGGACTGTGCCGTGCACATTGAAGAGAATGGAAACCTCAACATCGAAGTTTACCGGAAGCCCACACACACGGACCAGTATCTCCTGTTTGACTCCCACCACCCTCTAGAACACAACCTTGGAGTAATTAGGACCCTACACCACCGGGCAGAACATGTTCCCTCTAAGCCTGAAGGGAAAAAGAAAGAACACACACATGTAAAGGAAGCTCTTAAAACATGCAGTTATCCTGTTTGGGCTTTCATCAAGTCAGCAAAGATGCACAGAAAAGAAGATCAGACACCAGTGAGGGAGGATAAGAAAGACAGACGCAACAACATTGTCATTCCCTATATACCCGGTGTATCAGAAAAACTCAGGAGAGTTTTCTCCAAGCACGACATCGCAATTTACTTCAGACCCAGCAACACACAGAAACTGGTTCATCCCCAAGACAAAACTCCTAAACACAAACTCAACAATGTAGTGTATGCTGTACAGTGTAATGAGGAATGCTCAGACCTCTACATTGGAGAGAACAAACAGCCACTTCATAAACGCATGGCACAACATAGGAGAGCCACCTCCACGGGACAAAACCCGGCAGCCCATCTGCATTTAAAGGACAAAGGTCACTCTTTTGAGGATGCCATTTTACACATTTTGGACAGAGAACGCCCACTCACATCCTGGGCCATCTGACCTCAGGAAATCACATGATAGGGTGGGGCTAGGTTTCACAATGAGCTCACCTGAAATCTTGGCTGATTGTGACCTACACCCATTTTCACACCTTGGTTCATGTGATTAGGTAGAGGATCATTAGGTGGTCCATTGTCCCTCTCGGGGGATACTCCCACAGGGCTTAAAATTCAGGACTCTCCACCATTTGACCCAAGACCGGCAGAAGCTTCTCGGATGAGAGGTGAAACGTCTTCAAGCAACTTAAAGAAGTCTAGACGCTTTTCTTTCCAAGCTCCTTAGACTACGATGACCTGGATGACTGAGAACCTTCACTGACATATTCCCACTCTCTTGTCACTATGGAGGGCAGGCCCTTCAGTTGCTATGCTCCTTAACTTTGGAATTCCCTACTTCCTGATATGAGAAATATCATCTCATTTTCTCTTTTTAAGTCTAGACTCAAAACTCACCTGTTCAAAATAGCTTATTCCACATAATCTTTCCACCCTGCTAACTTTTAATCTGTTCGTTCTATTATGTTTCTCATTATTGTGTATATTCCCTGCTTTTACTACTTTGCTCTTCACAGTGTCCTTGAGTGTTCTGAAAGGCACTTTTGAAATAAAATGTATTATTATTATTATTAAATACACTGTATGTTTTCTGTTAAGAAGTATTGTTTAATTATTACTGTAAGGCATAACAGAGAGGCCAGTTCAAAAAATGCGAAATCTGTAAAATAATCTTAACCACGCAGGTGCAGACCCACATCCAACATAAAAATGCATGTCCTGACTTACTCTGATTGTCTTTGAATCACCTGGTAGCCAAAACCAGCAGCAGAGTTACTCAGGGTCTTCCAAGCCACGGGATCAATATTGAAACAAAGTGCAGCATTTAACACTGAGAAATGTTTTTTTTTTTAAAAAGCAGAAGAAAAAAAGAAAAAGAAAGAATGACATCAATAATCTTACTTAAGGTCATCTAATAATGTAATTATAGCCTTTCTCAATGTAATCACATTTAGGAAATTATACACAGTCTGTTTTATTTTCATACTATGTCTAGACTACCACTATAGCAGAGATGTCAAAGTCACTTCACACTAGGACCACATACAGCTCATAGTACAACTACACACTCCCTGAGATAGCTAAATATAAGAATAAAGAGTGCAATTTAAAGAGTATGTCTCAGTTTGTATATATGATAAAGAAATTTTGCTGGAGTTAATGAAGAACATCTTGTCAGCATGACCCTTTGGGCTTAAATTTTAGATAATCAATGTGTAAAACAACAAAGTTATATTAGATCATTGCAGACTGTCCTGTAATTATACAAGAGAACCTTTTATTAATTCACATAAATAATCCTTTCTTTGTTTTCTTTCACTGGACCCATTGTAATAAAAAAAATAGAGATTTAGAGAAGATACTGAAAAAACAGGAACTTTTCTGTCATTTCATTGTTCATCTATTACTTATTTACTTTGGTGTGGTACAATTCTCTATCTTTATCAGGAGGAAATGCTGTAAAACCTATGAAAATATATTTTAAAGTCTTATTAAATTTATGCCCTTTTTCACTTGATCCAAAGCCATCCAGTGGGTCTTATTGGAGTCTTTGCCAGGCATATTTTAGCCCTCTGGCCTTATGTTTGACACCCCTGCAATACAGTGAATCTGTCATTACCACTACAGTGCTCTAAAGCCAGATATTTTACAAAGCTAAAAAACATATTGAAGATTAAAATTTAAACCAGATTCTATCTTTTCTTCTTATATCTTCCTCCATTTAAAAAATACAGACATTTAAAGCTTTAAAGGATGAAAATCAATGCTTAACTCTACAATTAGTTTCAGGATATTCCACAGTATAAAAATAGACAACCTTTTTGTATGCATGTGCTTACTTACAGTGCTAAAAAATAACAGAATGGAGAATGCTGCTTGCGTGCACATTCTCCAGTCCTCCCTAACAGTCAGACTCATCAATACCTACCACACCCACATGCAAGTAAAGGAAATGAAGTCTCTGAGGGAAGTAAGTTTGATGTCACAAATGTACATCCCCAAAGAAGAAAATCTAAATCAGTAGCGTGCACTTTAGATAATAAAAACAGTATAGAGGCACGGAAATTGTATTGTTATATGGTTGCCATAAAGTGAAACTCTAATATTGTTGCAATACTACATAGCCCTTGTTCTATATAAGGCTAGACCTGAATTTTTGTGCCAATTATTTTTATGAAACAACTTACATTTATCACATTTCCTTTTTTGGGTCATGCTATGAACAATCAATATATTTTTCTGTTCAATAATGAAATCTTAATTTGATAGTTTTGCAAAAACCAAATGTATTTAGACATAGATATTTTATAATACTGACACCCTCTCAAGTTCCTCTTATCACCACTGTCTCTTTAGATTACTGTAATCTTTTGTAATTAAAGATTTTCAGTACATGGAGAGAATAAGTTGGAAGGAAGAATATGGTGTGTCGTGGTCGTAAAAAGTTTACAGTTTTGTGTCGCCCTGCATAAAACAAGGAGGAATATATAATGACTGCATAAACTACTAAATCATTTGGGTTCATAAATCCAGTTCTACAGGTTTTGTGGGGTTAATAATTAAGAATGTATTACTTCGTGAAATTTTCACACTGCATTTCTACGACAGACAACATCAAAACATTTTAGTTATAAATTTATTTTTAGAGTCAGAAGTTGACTGAACTCATGACACATTTCAGCAGGTAGTTTAATTCACAGAGGATAAATTGCAAATAAGGAAAGGGCCATCACAAAAATATGTCAAGGTCATATGGTTTCACTTTATATTTTACCGTCAATTTATTTGTGGGTTTTTAATACTAAAAGAAATATTTTATAAATAGAAAAATGTGGCTGTGTATACTTACAGTCATTTTTCCACAGGTTGTACTCATTCATAATTAAAGAACTAAAGATAAAATCAGAAGGCACAAACTTTTCTTACCAGATGAAAATAGTGTAACACAAATTATCCAATCCATTGTGTTGCTTCCATGAAAAAACCCCAGTTTGTTTGTTTTTTTAATTTGACTGATACAGTAGGTGAGGAATTACTTCTGCTCTGTGTCACAGGAGTTGTTTAATCCAAAATACAACAGTCATAGGATGACTGATGAAAGGTAAGGCAGGTAACGTTTTCATGGGAGGAGCTACAGTATTGACAGCACTGTCTGTTTTATAAGACACGCTGCTGTGGTGGTGTTTAATTTTGATCCATTTGTTCAAGTATTTTTTTCTAAGCGAAAAAATGTAAATCAATATAAACTGTTAATGATTAAATAAACTGAATCGCGTTTAGAAGATAAAATGCCTGTGTTCATGAGAAGCTTAGTATCACACTGGAGGGGAAACTGTGGGACAGCAGGTTGAATGAAACACATGCTTTTTGTGAAAGGAGGGAAAATGTTAGGATTGAAAATGTTTGATTTCTTTTTGATTTCTTTTACTACAATACATGATTATAATCATTTTCATACACACATTGCAAATGTGCTCATGAGATTTGTCACTCAGTCTTCTGACGGTCATAAGCTTCGTTCGGCGTGACTGTCCGGACTGATATATTGTAGGAAATGACTTAAATTGCAGAGGGGTAACTGCAAACACGCTTACACACAGATAATAATTAGACTAATTTTCCAGGTCAGAGGGTCCCGGATATGATATTCTAAACCAATTTTGAATCACTAGAAGAACAGTGGATAATAACATTAGATTATCTAGGCTAGGCAGAGAAGTGTTTGGTTTTTCCGTCTTTTACAGAGCTAGGAGCAGACACCAGATGAGGTCACGAAGATATCCTTCGCAGCAGACACCAAGACTGCCAAGACAGCAATTGGGGTCAAGGGTCATGCCGTTTGGGCTCCTGCTAGTCACCTCGAGAGGATCCCAGAACCACAGCAATAACCACGAAGTGGTTGGCGGAAATCCAGAGGCAGACCAAGGAGGGTCTGACCAAGAAAGGGGGACACTGCTGTGACCCCAAAAGAAACATGGATCCCGGCCAAGGGGCAAAATAAATCCCCTGATCTATGCAATGAACCGAAGGGTAGTCTAACCCCTAACGTTGAAGAAAGAAGAGGAAAAGAGTGCAGAGAATCGCCCGTCCCGGAAGGCAGCTGAAAGTAATGGGGGATCTGAGAATTAGCTTTAGTAATGGTCTGTGATTTGTGATTTTTATGTTATGACAGTTGCCCAAGCACAGCAATCATCCCATATATGGTCCACCCGTTAAAGGGGGACAGAGGGCCAAAGAGGGAAAAGAAGCATAGAGAACTGACACCTAGTGGGTAAAAATGGGGTGTGTGTAATGTCTGGAGAGATGTGCTGCACTTTCATTCCCAACAACACAACCCCAGATGGTTCTGTAACTAGAGCCCAGGGAAGACTCAGAACATCATTTAAGAAAATTAATAAATGCATGAATATTTGGAATTGATAATCCATTGGATGACGTCTGTCCTTGGGCAATGGAAGGGGTGTATTAGGTCCATTAGGGTTTCCTTATTCGTTTTTACAGCTAGTTGGGTAATTTGTGGTGGTGTGCCTTCTATCTGAGGATTATTGGTAAGATTGGTTAACAGGGCTGTTGGGGATCTGAAGACAACATGATGATGCTTGATGACTTTAGTAGTGTTGATCTGATCTGATCAGATCAAAGGAGGAACTGTTGGGATTAAATAATTTGCAGTGCCTCAATAATGCTATGCTTTTTTTATTAGTAAGTGTTATAAAGTTATATAGTGGAGTATTAACTGGACACAGCCCTGAAAAATAATGGCATGAGACCATGTGTCCTTGGGGAGTAGAAAGCTGCAGACTCTCGCTCATACTTGCCTGGGAAAATGTAGATAAGAGAGCACCATTTCTAGTGGAAAGTTACTGAGACACAGTTGTTTAGACTAGAATGAGAGAGCTTCTGTAATAAAACTGTCAGGGGCACATCACCATTTTGAGATCCGCGGCAACGTGTAATGCAGGACGCATCTCCCTTCTAGAAGTAATGAAGTGTTAAATGGTCTACTGAGCAGTGTTTTGTCTTCCATCGGATGCCTCTGAGGAATCAAAAGAACTCAGTGAAGTGTTGATATTTACAAAGCTCTTGTAAAAAGACTGGTTATTGCATTATTTTATACAATCATATGAAATAACTGGATTCACAAATAAAATAGAAAAATAAAACTTTAATTTCTGTTCGCAGACTTGAAGCCACATATTTTGCTGAGACATTGGCTTTACTCAGTTACTGACTTTTGTTTTCAGATGGATCTACTTTAAATTAAAAAATGGGGATTGCTGTTTCACGTTATCTTCTAGTTTAAGATCTAAACCAGGGCTGCCCAATCCCAGTCCTCAAGAGCTACTATCCTGCAGCTTTTAGATGCATCCCTACTCCAACACAGCTGAATCAAATGGTTTGATTACCTCTTCAGCATGCCATCATGTTTTGGCAAAGGCCTGATAACAAGCCATTCATTTGATTCGGGTGTGTGGGAACAAGGATGCATCTAAAAGCTGCAGGATGGTAGCTCTCGAGGACCGGGATTGGGCACCCCTGGTCTAAACAAACTCCATCTAAAAATAATTCATTTATGCGCCTTGCCTTAGAGTATTTGTTGCTGCATTTAGTTAATTCTAGTTGGGGGTTGTTTGGTAGTCTTTGTCTCTTGTTCATTGTATTTACTTTCACTTCCCTTGTCTAATTTTGTAGTATTAGTTACAGCTGAATTCCCCAAATATTTCCTCTTTCATCACTTCTAGTATTTATCTTGGTTTCCCCTTGTCTCATTCACTTGCTTTACTCCTGGTTTGTTTGTTTTTTTTGCTTTGTCTCCATTTGGGATTCAAAAGCAATAAAACCTTGCCTTTTATTTGCTGCCATTTCCTCCAACACTTTAGCTCAGAGGGTATAAGCACTGTCAGCAGATGTGGAGAGACAGCTGGATTTGGACATGAACAGGTGCTCCTTGTATTCAGTTGAGTGGGAGGAGTCTGTGGACTGAGGTTTTGACGTTACTGTCACTGAAAACCACCACCAAGGGAGTTGACATTTACAATGCAGTGAAGTGGTACTCTTTGGAAAAAAAGAAAAAAATCAACTTGGGATTTATTGAACATTGCAAAGCGAACCCAGACTTTCCTAAAGTACTGAAACAGATAAACATTTAAATGCCTTCATTGACGTGAACCTCAGTGGAAACATTTCTGCATAAAGCTCTCAGGTTGAACCTATGCAGTGCCACTGACAGAAACTGTGCAGCTCATTAGCATTAATAAAAGATGGTGGATTTATGAGCTCAGAAATCTGCACTGTTTGTTGTTAATTTGTTTTGATAAATTGTGGATTTAGAGAAGTTCAAGTCCTCCAAATATTTTGGAGTGTTGCTCAGGAGTACAGTACAGCATAACTATGCTGTTTATTTTTTGTGCATGTTCTCTATGTGTTCATGTTCATTTCCACCATTTTGAAGTACAATGAGTACAACATTCAGATATTTGTGAATGGCAGTTCTTACACACAATATGTGCTCTTGGTTAACATGTTTTTAGATAGATAGATAGATAGATAGATAGATAGATAGATAGATAGATAGATAGATAGATAGATAGATAGATAGATAGATATAGAAAATGAGCATTCACTTGCTTTTAGAAATTGGCTATATAAATAAATTTTGCTAAGGATGAGTAGCTCTCTAATGCTTTTTTGTGTAAAAGTAACTCACAGAACAAAAAAGGTTGGAGACCCCTGCTCTGTTAATTAACAATATAAATCCGTAATGTTGTGTTGATGGTTCTGAAAGATAAACTTGTAATGTTTAGAGTCCTAAGCTTTTAATCACAAAAAGAGAGAGAATATATAACTAGTTATGGATTCAACAATATGTTGTTTTTCTACACTGGATGATTAGTTATGTATGAAAAATGAAATGAATTTTATTCACATACTACATATAATGAATGATAATGATGAAGCAAAAACTTTATCTTTTATAAATATTACACATTTTACAATTTATTGAACAACGGCATTCACATTGTTATTGGCACTTTGCACATCTACAGCAGTTAAGCAGAGGTGGAAAGAGTACTAAAATATTTTACTCAAGTAAAAGTACTATTACTTTGTTGAAATTTTACTCAAGTACAAGTGAAATTACCTGTCTAAAAATTTACTCAAGTAAAATTAAAAAGTAGCTCATTTAAAATGTACTCAGAGTAAAAGTTACATAGTTACTTTTTTGTCAGCAGGAGGACAGGCTCTTCTGAGTAGTGCAAAAAAGACAATGGGATAAATCTCAAAGTAGTTGTTATTTAATTAAAAGAAAATCTTTACAAATTAAAGTGCAGTGGCAGTTAAACTGCAAGTCTATACATCAAAATGGATAATGGTCACCAAACCAACCAAACTGTCAAAACCATATAATTCTTTTACATGAGAATGTGTTCTAAACTTTCAAATAAGAGAACAAGTACTGAATTGAGCTGTATGGCAGCTGCTATAAAAATGTGTTTTAAGTTTTTTAAACATAGCCCTGCTCTGTTAATTTTGAGGAGCATTTCAATTCAATTCAATTCAATAAAACTTTATTGATCCTGAAGGTTGACCCCGAAGGAAATTGGGTTAAGGCTGCCGACCTTTGCCAGCGCCATCTTACCCTTCTGACCATACATACATTACACAAACATCACATGGGGAAGACAGGTCAGAGAGGTATAACAATGGAAAATGCACCACATGAGGAAAGATAAGGAAAAAAAATAACTACCCCCAGACTGAGCTCCAACAGGGAGATCAGTTTGAGAACAGAAAAAAACACCTCTGCACATAGCACATGTTATTCTTTTGCCTGCAGTGTGAACATATGTGGGTTAAGTAAGAAAGTAGCCGCTTCTGTCTTCTGTCTAATTTAACTATTTTTTTAAAATAAATTATTATTATTAACAAACAGGAAAAATGTAAGTAAACACATTTTCTTTTGGCAATTTACCAATCCAGTAAAAAAAAATGTAAGTTGCGTGGACAACAACGTGCCCAATAACAGCTTATGTCTTAACTTAATGTG